TTCAAACCCTGATCCAGGAAGGTCCCACATGCCACAGGGCAACTAAGCCCATGAGCCACAACTACTGAGCCTTGGTGCTGCAACTACTGAAGCCCGTGACACCCAAGCCTGCGCTCCATGAGAGAAGCCACTGCAGGGCGAAGCCCTCATACTGCGACCAGGGAATAGCCCCTGCCTGGCACAGCTAGACCAAGTCCACACACAGCAACAAAGACCCAGCACAACCAAAGCAGATAAACAAAATGTAGAAAAAAATACGTGAACCTGCACAGTTCAAACCTGTGTTGTTTAAGGGTCAACTAAGCACAGAGTTTTTTTCCAAAGTGAACTTCCCTGCTGGGCCAGTGGTTAAGAATTTGCCTTCCAACGCAGAGGACACAGGTTGGGGAACTAAGGTGTCACATGCCATGTGGCAACAAGGCCCTCACGGCACAACAAAGACCCAGCACAGACAAAAATTTAAAAATATATTTTTGAAAGGATATTGTGGTTAGATAGCATCAGTGACTCAACAGACATGAGTTTGAGCAAACTCTGGGAGATTGTGAAGGACAGGGAAGCCTGATGTGCTGCAGTCCATGCTGCCACAAAGAGTCAGACACAACTTAGCGACTGAACAATGGTGGCAGGATAACAACCACCCCCCTCCCCCAAATATGCCCTAATCCCCAGAATCTTTGAATATGTCATGTTACACAGCAAAGGAAAACTAAATTTGCAAGTGGAATTAAGGTTGCTACTGACTTTTTTTCTTCTTAATTTTAATTTTTATATTGGAGTCTAGTTGTTTCACAGTGCTGTTACTTTCAGGTGTATAACAACATGATTCAGTTAGGTATCTATGAATATCCATTATTTTCAGGTTCTTTTCCCGTATAGGTTATTACCTAACATTGAGCAGAATTTCCTGTGCTATACAGAAGGTCCTTGTTGATTACTTTATATGCAGTAGTGTGTATGGGTTTCCCTGGTGGCTCAGACAGGAGAGAATCTGCCTGCTATGGGGGAGGCCTTGGTTCGATATCTAGGTTGGGAAGATCCCCTGGAGAAGGGGATGGCTACCCACTCCAGTATTCTTGCCTGGAGAATTCCATGGACAGAGAAGACTGGTAGGTGACGGTCCCTGGGATTTCAAAGAGTTGGACACGGCTGAGTGACTGACACTTTCACTTTCACTAGTGTGTATATATATTAACCTGACTTTAAAATGGGGGAGATTATGCTGAGTGAACTGGATGGACCCACGGTCACCATGTGTGTGCGTGCCAAGTCCCTTTAGTTGTGTCCGACTCGGTGTGACCCCATGGACCGTAGCCCACCAGGCTCCTCTGTCCATGGGATTCTACAGGCAACAATACTGGAGGGGGTTGCCATGCCCTCCTCCAGGGGATCTTCCCCACCCAGTGATTGAACCTGTGTCTCTTACATCCTCCTGTATTGGCAGGCAGGTTCTTTACCGCTGGTGCCACCTAGGAAGCCCAGGGTCACCACAAAGGTCCCGAAAAGCAGAAGAGGAAGAGTCAGCGTGATGAGACATGAGAAGGACCCCCCGCTGTTGCCAGCTTTGAGGAAGAAGAGAGGGCTGTAAGCCAGGGTACAGGTAGCCTCTAGAAGCCGGAAAAGGCAGGAGTTGGACTCTTCCCTAGAGCTGCGGGAGGAATGAAGCCCTGCTCGCACTTTGATGCTAGCCTAGTGGGATCCACTTTTGTGGGTGAGGGGTCCTTCTGCAGCGCCTCGCCCCAGTCACCGATTTCTGAGAATCCAGATGGTGGGATGGTGGATTGCCTTCTATGACTTCAGTAACTGTATGTTGAATGAGTAGAACTTTGTTGAAAACAGGAAAGGCAGTACTTCTGGGAACAGACAAATAAGCAGGAGTTGTGCCTGAAAGGTATTGAAAATGTCCCGGAAGGTGGCTGAGGCCCAGGGATGGGTATCCAGGCAGTTAATATATCAGGGAAGTATGGCCCCAGTCATACAGACAAGGCTACAGGGGACTCCCATCTCTGGGAGGGGTACCCCCAAGAGTAGGGCTACAGCCTGGGAGCACAGTGAAGAAAATGAATGACAGTGCAGTTGTATGGACAACAAGGTCCTACTATATAGCACAGAGAACTATATACAATATCCTGGGATAAATCACAATGTAAAGCATATTAAAAAGCATGTGTATATGTGTGTACCAGAATCACTTTGCTGCGCAGCAGAAATTAACACAACCTGTAAATCAACTATCCTTCAATTAAATAAACAAACCAACCCAGCAAAGACTTTACTACCCTACATGGGAGTGCTAGATTTTGTGCATTTGTTGCTCAGTTTACATGACACTGAGAAAGTTGAATAACCTCAATTCTTCAAAAAACCAACTGTAACTGGCCTATCACTAAGTTAACAAATTAAAGGGCCAGAGTTACTCAAACTAAAAAAAAAAAAATAATGCAATCATTCTGTCAAGGAACTTAAAACTATAGTCCTAAGGGACCAGACTACTGACTGAGGCCAAACCTCGGGCACACAGAACAAGGACACAGAGACAAAAGTCACTTATGATCCAGAGGTTCTATCCTCGTGGTGCTGGGCCAGGGTCTTCATTCTACAGTTTGAAGAAAGGAGCCATGAAAAGGCTGGGAATCAGACAAGAGTCTGATATGTGCCTATTAAGGAGTTTAGAGATCTCAGTAAATTATTACTACATCTGAAAAGCTGACAGTTACATGATGAGAAACCAACAGAAAAAGGTCAATGCTGCACCAAAACAGAGCCTAAGTGTCAGATTCTGATTCCACAAACTGGCCAAATTTTTTTTTTTCTGGCCTGGAAGTTACTTCAGTAAGTGACCCTGTTTGTACATAGTGAACTTGCTTTTTTAGCAAGAAGAGTCCGTGTCTGTCAGTTTTGACATCATCAAGCGAGAAGATAAAAAAACATTTAGATGATCAAACAAAACAAGTTTATTATTACTGTTAGTTGTTTAGAGAACCATTGGATCATTGAATAATCATAAAGTTTATTGATTGAATTTATTAATATAGACATTTACAAACATAAAGTGCTGTGCTGAAATCAGGAATTACTAGTTTTCGGATAACCTTACCTTCTCATTAGCTAATATGAAAAATGATTTCCTTGGACTTCCCTGGTGGTTCAGTGGATAAGAATCCACCTGCCAGTGCAGGGGACACAGGTTTGATTCCTGGTCCAGGAAGATTCCACATGCCATGGAATCAATGCCATGGGCAACAAAGCCCGTGTACCGCTACTACTGAGCATACGCTCTAGAGTCCATGACCTGCAACTATGGAACCCGCACACCAGAACTACTAAGTCCACGCATCCTAGAGCCTGTGCTCTGCTCAAGAGAAGTCACCACAATGAGAAGCCTGAGCCCCACAGTGAAGAAATGCCCCTGCTCACTGCAAGTAGAGAAAGCCTATGAGCAGCAATGAGGACCCAGCACAACCAAAAATAAAAAGTTTCCTTTATATATGTTGTTGTAATGCGATTAGGTAAGTGAAAGTCACTCACTCGTGTCCAATTCTTGGTGACCCCATGGTTTATACAGTCCATAGAATTCAACAGGCCATAATACCGGAGTGGGTAGCCTGTCCCTTCTCCAGGGGATCTTCCCAACCCAGGAATCAAACCAGGATCTCCTGCATTGGAGGTGGATTCTTTACCAACTGAGCTATCAGGGAAGCCCCATAATTAGGTTTCATGTACCATAATTAGGTGTCATGCATCTAATATTTAACAAGATTAACAGATGCATCATCACCTTCTAAGATGTTCTGGAACAATAGTTTTTATTATAAAGCTCTTATTTCACACTGGTCACAATTGAATATAGAGTAACAGATCATTGCAGAAGCTAGTGATAACTCATTCAACAAAATAATCACATATTAAAAAAAAATAATAATAATCACATATTATACCCATTAATGCCCCATCATCTAAGCAGAAAGGTCTGAAATTTCCTTCTGAAGATGTAATTTTACTTATCTATCACACACTTTACAAAATAACTTGTTCTTCCAAAATCAGAGGGGCAAGTGACAAGCTTCTGAGGCACGTCCATTGTACAGCACTCTGAATTAAATAAGGAAACAGGCCAGCTCCTTTTGACAAGTCTCCATATCCTTCTAGTTGCCCGATTCTAATTACACAGACCTTAAAAAGTCAGATCATTCTGAGAGTGGATGGGACACAGTCTCATGGATGTCAATCTCTTCTCATTTGCCAAAGGTGCAAGTGAGCACCAAATTCTGACATTTTGTAGTTGCTTATTAAAGGGTTCCTAAGACAGGAAATTGGATCCCTAAGACTGTAAACTGATATATTCCTCTCATTGTAAAAGCCTCTGAGAAGTGTGATACATAGAGAGGCTTCAGGTAGGTTTATGTAAAACCAACATTTTGACTCTGATTATAGAGATGAAGCCATAAGTGAAACTTTGTTTCCATTGAACCCACCTCTGAGAGGTCAGAAAATAAACTCTTTAAAGTGGACATTGGAGTCTATTTCTAGAATAGCTGAATCAGTTAGCTTGGCTGATAGATCTTTGCTGCCAATGGCTCATGAAGTTAGACAGGACAAAGTACCACCTAGATGTTTGGTGGTTTCTTTATTCAGTACCCACAGAGGCCTTTATAAAAAAAAAAAAAAAAAAAAAATAGTGCTGGAACTCCATTACATTAATTTCCTGTCTTAATGTTTCCAACCATATAGAGAATGTCCCAAAGGTCTTAGGTTAGTTTTGTGCTTTAATAAACTTGTGTCAATATTAAATTGCTTCCTCTTGTCTTGCTATGTCCTCAGAACAAAGCTGGTAGAATATTTCTCTGACTCAGTTTCTAACAGTTCTCTCTCACTCAATTACACATCACTGTAGATGTGGGTTGTTTTGTGAAAAGTACAGAGATGCACAGTTCTCAGACTCTTCTGTGATAGAAAGAAACCTCAGCCTCTATGTGTGGTGTTAATACTACTGAAAATTATTTGGGGCAGTACTGTGAACATTGAGATGGTCATATTTTAATAAATTTCCACACATTCATCCAGTTAAAGAAACTGGTCTTAACTCCAGGTGTTTTCTCTCCTTCTCCCGGATCAATGTTATATGGGTTTTTATCCTTGACTTCTTTTGTTTTTATAAGGGTCATGTATATTTCCTGGGTTCTGGCAATTTCTTTCTGTGCATCAAAATGGACCTTCTGCCTGGTCAGAAGGGGAACAATTAAATTAAAATCATTAATTCGCTTATTTAGCTTTTTGATGTTTTCTTGAAACTGCTCACAAACTTGGTTCCACTGTTTCTGTTCAGCTGATGTCATTGGAGTCCCAAGTTTTTTCCTCGACACTAAAATTGCCTCTCTGAGTTGATCAATGGTATCCTTTATTTCCTTTTGCATTAGGATCCATTCTGGTTGGTATCCATTATCTATCAATATTCTGTTCAGGTTGTGAGTCATAGGATCAATATATGAACAGCCAGAAAATTTTTTCAGAGGTTTTCCTTTCCCGCTGAGATTGTCAAAGTCTCCTTTTGCCATTGATTCCTGAATGAGATCCTCCACCAAACGCTCTATTGCCTGAGTTATCTTTCGTTCCTTACTGTGTCTTACATCTTTAACAGTGACACTATCAGTGAAATACTGGCTTTGCAGTTTCTGCTTTTGGTATTCCATCACTTGTTCAGTTGCACGGTCTGCTCTAAACTGCCTGTACTGCTTCTCTCGTTGACTCGGAGTCCCAAAACCAATACCCTCAAAACTTAAGTAATGCCGGTGTTGGGGTGTTTTATATTTGAATTTTTCTTCTTCTTCTTCTGTGTCTTCAACTTTACTCTGTCTGGCATTTGTCTGTTCTATCACGTGCGAAAGTACCTTCCTGTAAGCTTCTTCAATCCTTATAAACGTTGCAGAATCAGCAGTACTAGAGCCACCGTCTGGATGGTATTGCTTGGCAAGCTTACGAAAAGATTCCCTGACATCATCTGCAGAACAGCCTTCATCCAGGTTCAGCAGCCCATAATATTCTCTCATATTCCTTTTGGATTTATGGGTTGACATCATTCTAGTTCTTGTGACACCAAGATATGGACCCATTTTCATTCGGTTAGGAATCACTGAAGCACTTCTCAGATGAGATCTTAGGATCTGAGCCATCATCACATACGCTGTGTTCCTTATGGTACCCAGAGTTCTTCCCTAGCAATGATCTATAAAACAACAAATATAGAGTGAAGAAAGTTGTATTATCAGCTAAACTCATATTTTCAGCAATATGAATGAAATTATGCACACAATAAGGGCAGTTCTTTCTAATGCTGCTAAAATTCTCAGAGCTACAATTCACTTATGTTAGCAGAGAAATGGAAGTTGATGACGTCTTACATTAACATACTGCAATATGATCTAGATTCTACTACTAACTAACCCCAGAATGTTAGAGCTGGCAAGTTCTCAGAGATCATCTAATCCAATCTTCTTGTTTTATGAGAAAATGTAGACCCAGAAGGTTAAGCAACATAACCAAATCCAATAACAAGGTGGAAGGGCACTATAAGCCTCTTGTTTAACTGTCTGTATCCCCAGCAGATCATGAACTTCATCGGCACCGTTACTTCTTTAGTTAGCGAATGTATCAGTCTTCTCACGAGGAGACATGTGAAATAATCAGAGCACACGTCAAAGTATGTATGTACCTAGTCTGACACTAAACTGAATAGAATCAAATGTCCAAAAAAGATTTTAAGCTCTGCAGCTTGTTAGGAAGGAGCTATTCGCTACAAGTCGAAAAACCAAGATGAAAGGGTGAGCCCTCTCAAGACGTTAACTATTATTTTTAAAACGCACGGTACAGAAAAGGAAGGCGGTCTTGTACGAGGGTAATGGCAATGAAATGCTGGAAGTGGTTTCATTGAAAATAGGACTTTGATGTATACATGCTAAAACTGAGTTCCCGGGGACTCTAATTTCTGGACAGTTGGGATCGAGGACTTTCAGGTTTAACTGGGACTTCGGTGATGGTGCCCAACGTGGCCGTCGCGAGGGAGCGGTCAGTCCCAACGCTGGACACGCCCCGCCCCGCCCCCTACTCACCTCAGAAGCGGCTCAGCGGCTCCCGCGTCCAAGCTGCGCCTCGGCGCATGCGTGCGCCATCTGCCCTTCGCTTCACAGGCGTCTCGGCTGGAGGCCCGCGGCAAGCGCCGCCGCTGGGCTAGATCATCTGCGTTTTACACAGAGGGAACCCTCGGGGTGCGGCGGGCAGTATTATACCTAATAGGGACAGACGTCCTATCTTACCACGGAACCCCAGAATCTCCTTTAAGCCCTAGTCTTCTCTAGAGGACAGGAGTAGGAGCTTTCAGGAGGCCCCGCCCCGTCCCGGGCACCAGCTCCGCCTCCGCCCCCAACTGGAGCGGAAGATGGATAGATCGAGCGGGATTGTGGGAGATGTAGTTATTCCGGAAGTGCGGCGCGCGCCGGACTGCTTCCGGGAGAAGGGTGGGTGGGGAGAGGTGATGCGCGAAAGGGACGCTGTGGCGGCTTTGTAGATATGTGGGGCTTCTCATGGCCTGTGGCCGGTGTAGGTGGGGACCTGTGACGTCCGAATGGTTTGGAGGGCGACGCCCCTCGGAATATTGTTTTGAGAAGGGGGAGACGAGTCTGTTTCCCCGAACAGGACCTGGACAGCCTCTTCAGGTCTGCAGCCGGAGACACCCTCTCCGAAATTTCTCAGGAAATTCTACCTTAGAAAGATCTAGTTAACGCAGGTTAGAAAGCTGGTCTTTTATTAGTTCAAGAACCTAGCGAGCAGCTCATTTAGCCAGGTGTCGGTAGTGGGTGAGAACAGTCGAGGACAAAATTAAATTAGGTGTGTTTCCTGGCTTTAAGTTCAGCTACTGTCGTGGGGATTTACTATTTCTCTCTCCTGCACAGGGAGATAATTTTTTAAAAAAAGTAAGAGGCATAACCTTGGGGAGTCAGACCTGAGTTGAAAATCCTTTTTGCTTACACTTGGGTTTCTGTTTTGATCTGGCAAATGATTGTACCAGCACATGGTAAACGTGTATTTAGCCCTTCCTTTTGCCAGGCACTGTACTAAATGCGCTATGTACAGTCTTAAAATCCTTACAACAGCCCTCTGAGGTAAGCGCTATTATTTTCCCCATTTTACTTATGATGAAATAATAATTGCATCAAACGTCGTGCCATTTTGTGAAAATTACACAATGTATGTGAACCTCTTTGCATTGTGTCTGCCTGGCACGTTAAGTTTTTTTGTTGTTATGACGATGTCTCCTGAAACAAGCCAGAAATAGGTACTAACCTAGAAGGGCTTCTGAGTAATTGTTGTTCAGTCGTTGCTCAGTCGTGTCCAACTTTTTGTGACTCTATGGACTGCAGTAGGCCAGGCTTCCCCGTTCTTCACCATCTCCCGGAGTTTGCTCAAACTTAGGTCCATTGAGTTTGTGAGCCATCCAACCATCTCATCCTCTATCGCTCCCTTCTCCTGCCTTCAGTCTCTCCCAGGGTTAGGGTCTTTTCCTGTGAGTTGGCTCTTCACGTCGGGTGGCCAAAGTGTCAGAGCTTCAGCTTCAGCATCAGTCCTTGCAATGAAGGTTGATTTCCTTTAGGATTGACTGGTTTGATCTCCTTGAAGTCCAAGGGACTCTCAAGAGTCTTCTCTGGCACCGCAGTTCAGAAGCACTGATAAAGCATCAGTTCTTCCGTGTTCAGCCTTCTTTATGGTCCAACTCAACGTTGGTACGTGGCTACTGGAAAAACCATAGCTTTGACTATAATTTGCTACCTTCAACTAGGTATGCAGAAAATGGTTTACATTCTGATTCAGAGGGATTTCCTTATAAGCAAACAATGAACATAAAAGAACTCCAGTGTGAAAGAAAATGTTTCTACAAGTTTGAATTCTAGCCAGTATTTTAAACACAGCTATAAAAGTGGGGAAAGCACACAGTTTTAGAAACTACCCATACTTATGTAGCACTTTGTATTTTGTTCAATACAATGCACTAGTCGCAATGTCATTTTCATGTTTGCATGTTATAAGTAACTATACCTTAGTCCAAGGAGTTAAGTGATTTGATTAAGTGACTAGACTTTGTAAGTTACTGGGACTCTTAAGTCCATTGCTCTTTTCAGAATGTCAGTTTTGTGGTACTACACTTTACATGTAGAAAGTGAATTGAAGTCAGCCGAGTAATCAGTAAAGCACACTTTCAACTGCAAAGTGTAAATTACCTAACTGACCTAGGAGATTATTTTTCTTATGTATATGAAACCTGGAGGTAAGCAGTTTCTGGCATTGGTTCAGCTACCAAGAGGTGCTCTACCATCCTCTCTCTCTATGTATATGTGTGTGTGTGTATTCTGAATCATTTAAAAGTAATTGCATGTATTATGTTCCTTTACTCCAAAGCACTTCAGTATTTGCTTCATCAAAGCAACAGCATTCTCTTACATTATCATAACTTTGTTAACAGATTTAACATAGACAAAATATTATTTAATGTACAGTTTTGTATTCCACTTTCAGCACTTGTCCTGATGATGTCTGTGAGGGCAACCCATAGACTTTTAAATTAGCAGGTCAAATGAGTGATAAACCAAAGCGTTATTGCTCAGTTTAGTTACGGGCAGAAAGAGTTCACCATTGAAAATATAGTTCCCATTTAAAGAGAAAAATACAGAGACATCACTGGTAGTCCAGTGGCTAAAACTCCACATTCCCAATGCAGAGAGCCTGGGTTTGATCCATAATCAGGGAGCTAGACCTCACATGCTGCAACCAAGGGCTTGCATGCCTCAAGTAAGACTCAGTGCAGCCAAACAAATATTAGAAAATAAAACTGTAGTTCTTTTCCTTTTAAAAGGTGGCTGCATACTCTGCAGTCAACAGTCCTAGTGATTATAAGATGTGGTCAGAGGATAACATGTAAAGTCAGAAGCAAACATAGGTTGACTAGCTTTTTTTTAAAATTTTGATCATGCCGCTTGTGGGCAGTTCTTGAGACCAGGGACTGATCCTGGCCCATGGCAGTGAAAGCGCTAAATCCTAACCACTGGGCTACCACGGACACCTGGTTAACTCTCAATTTTTATGTGATCTGCTACCTTGCTTATTTAAACTCCATAGACTTTTAAACCTGTTCATTTTCAGTTTAAATTGTTAACCACTTTAAGGTTATATTATAATTCAAATCAACATGCTTGAACCTCAGTCTGTTCTTTTCCACAAAGTCTTAATTAATTACTTCAAGTTTGTCAGCTGGAATGCAGTATAATCTTGTATAAAAGGGCTGGTTTTAAATTAAAGTCTATTGGCTTTCATGTGTGTAACATGTCCTGGTTTGAAACATCTTTTTTTTGTAATTCTGTACTCTTACAATAGAGTTGAGCATTTTGAAACAAATTTCCCCATAAGCCAGGGAGGGTAGAGAGTTGGCACAAATTCCATTAGCTTTAAAATTAGTCATTAACTGTGTTTCTGAGTGGGTGGAAAATAAATATGATACTTTAAAAAAGTTATTAAAATTTTTTTTGTTACTTTATAGTTAGGTTAAATACTTACTGAGCTACTGCAAGAAGCTTGGCACTGCAAAAGTAACTTTTTCTTTGGTTCTAGGATATAGTTTCAGGCTTCATGACTGAAGCGTGTGAGGGCTGTGTTTTAATTCCATCTGTTTCTTCTTTTTTAAAAAAAGATTCATTTGTTTATTTTGGGCCATGCTGGGTCTTTGATGCTATGCATGGGATTTATTTAGTTCTCTAGTTGCAGGGGAGCAGGGGCCACTTACCGTTGTGGTAACACAGGCTCTCATCTGTGCAGTCCACTGCATTTCAGAGCAGAGTCAAAGCACTCAAGCTTCAGTAGTTTGGGCTTGTGAGCACAGTAGTTGTGGTGCTCTGGCTTAGTTGCCCCTTGGCATGGGGATCTTCCTGGACCAGGGATCGAACCTGTGTTCCTTGCATTGGCATATGGGTTCTTAACCACTAGAACACCAGAGAAGCCCCTCTTTTCTTTCTTCCTTTGTTTCATTTGTTGGTTCTGTGGTCACTGCAAATAAGTTGATTTATTTCCAGTAAGTTGTGGTACTATAGTAACCAAAATCACACCGCCCTGCAGATTGATGGATGGTTCCCTCTGAATTCTAAAGTCACATTTTGTTCAATGATGTTTGCAAATTGTATCTTCTGAAACTACAATTTCCAGAAACACCATGAATCTGCTTTCCTCTGGGTGCCATCTCAGTTCATTGTTTTTGGTTTATTTTATTGAAATAGAATTGAGGAACACTATTATTAGTTTGGTTATATTAGTTCCTTTTTTACTCTGATCAAGGAAGTGTTTATTGTAGACAGTGTCAGTTTTAAAAGAAAGGAAGAGGTAAATGAACTTAATTAATTAGCATAATAAGACTGAAAATCTAGAAGGGTTGGGAAAAGGTAACCTGGAAAAGAGGAGATTCACACTCATTTGAATATTTTTCCATTCTTCATCTTCCCTAGTGGGTTAACCAGTTATCTAACATCCTAAGGTGGTCAGTAAGGGCCACACACAGGATTTGTGGAAGTTTGCTAATGAAAAACTACCCTCCCCAACCCAGGATGTCAGTTTTCATTTTTGGCCTTGAATCAACTTAAGGATTTATTGTCACTTGAGCCTGCATTTGAAGACTCTTGCTCCTTGGAAGAAAAGTTATGACCAACCTAGACAGCATATTAAAAAGCAGAGACATTACTTTGTCCGCAAAGGTCCGTCTAGTCAAGGCTATGGTTTTTCCAGTAGTCATGTATGGATGTGAGAGTTGGACTATAAAGAAAGCTGAGCACCTAAGAATTGATGCTTTTGAACTGTGATATTGGAGAAGACTCTTGAGAATCCATTGGACTGCAAGGAGATCCAACCAGTCCATCCTAAAGGAAATCAGTCCTGAGTGTTCATTGGAAGGACTGATGCTGAAGCTGAAACTCCAGTACTTTGGCCACCTGATGTGAAGAACTGACTCATTTGAAAAGACTCTGATGCTGGGAATGACTGAAGGTAGGAGGAAAAAGGGACAACAGAAGATGAGATGGTTGGATAGCATCACTGACTTGATGGACATGAGTTTGAGCAAGCTCTGGGAGTTGGTGATGGACAGGGAAGCCTGACATGCTGCAGTCCATGGGGTCACAAAGAGTCGGACACGACTGAGTGACTGAGCTGAACTGAATGCTTTCTGTTCCTTGAAACAATGAATAATGTATATACCTCCAATTGCAGGCTGATAGTGGGGAAAACAGCTGCACATCAGTAGCCTGGGAATCAAGATTTGAATTGTTTTCAGCCCATATAACATTTACCCAACATGTTTATCAAAATCACTGTCTCACAGCCCAACTGCTCTGTTTGCTTTCTTTGTTTCTTTTTTTTTTTGTTTTGTTTTGTTTTGTTTTGTTTTTTTTTCTCTTTGTTTCTTTTTTTAATTATCTCTGTCTTTGGCTGCGCTGGGTCTTAGTTGCTGCATGAGGGATCTTTTCGTTACAGCATGTGGGATCTGGTTCCCTGACTGAGGATCGGACCCGGGACCCCTGCACTGAGAACACAGTCTTAACCCCTGGACCACTGTGGAAGTCCCCATTCTTGTTTTTTCTTACCCTTCAAAATTTGTTTCCAGTTTTTTTGAGCTGTAATTGACAAAAATTGTATACCTTTACAGTCACCCTTCAAAATTTGTTTCCAGTTTTATTGAGCTGTAATTGACAAAAATTGTATAACTTTACAGTGTGTAACTTGGTAATTTGGTATATGTACAAGTATGAAATAATCATCACAATCACACTGATTAACAAATTAACATATCATCACCTCACATAGTTACTGTTTTCTTTTTTTGATTCCAGCTGCAGGATGGAGAGCCTTCAGCAATTCCTGGGAAACTTAGGACTTCGTTTATAGGTAAAGAATTTTAATAAGGGAATTCCCTGGTTATTCAGTGGTTAGGACTCTGCACTTCCACTGCAGGGGGGCCAGAAAAAAAAGACTTTTTATCTGGAGTTAAGATCCATTGTCTTATTTTTCTCCTATGCATTGAATTTGTTCAGCAGCAGTTAAAGTCCTGTGTGGGGCTTCCCTGGTAGGTCAGTGGTAAAGAATCTGCCAGCCCATGCAGGAGACACAGGTTCGATCCCTGGTCCAGGAAAATCCCACATGCTGTGCAGCAGTTAAGTCTCTGTGCTACAGTTACTGAGCCCATGCTCCGAAACTGCTCAAGCCCACATCTAGAATCCATACTCTGCAACAAGAGAAGCCACAGCAAAAGAAGCGAGAGGGGAGCCCTCAATCACCACCAGAAGAGAAAGTCTGCTTATAGCAACAAAGACCCAGGGCAGTCAGTTCAGTTCAGCCCAGTCGCTCAGTTGTGTCTGACTCTTTGCGACCCCATGGACTGCAGCATCCTAGGCTTTCCTGTCCATCACCAACTCCTGGAGCTCGCTCAAACCTCATGTCCATGGAGTCGGTGATGCCATCCAACTATCTCATCCTCTGTCATCCCCTTCTCCTCCTGCCCCCAGTCTCTCCCAGCATCAGGGTCTTTTCCATTCAGTCAGTTCTTCACAAAGCATTGGAGTTTCAGCTTCAGCATCAGTCCTTCCAATGAACATTCAGGACTGATTTCCTTTAGGATGGACTGGTTGGATCTCCTTGCAGTCCAAGGGACTCTCAAGAGTCTTCTCCAAAACTACAGTTCAAAAGCATCAATTCTTAGGTGCTCAGCTTTCTTTATAGTCCAACTCTCACATCCATAATGACTACTGGAAAAACCATAGCCTTGACTAGACAGACCTTTGTTGGCAAAGTAATGTCTCTGCTTTTTAATATGCTGTCTAGGTTGGTCATAGCTTTTCTTCCAAGGAGCAGGTGTCTTAATTTCATGGCTCCAGTCACTATCTGTAGTGATTTTGGAGCCCAAGAAAATAAAGTCTGTCACTGCTTCCATTGTTTCCCCATCTATTTGCCATGAAGTGATGGGACTGGATGCCATGATCTTAGTTTTTTGAATGTTGAGTTTTAGGTCAGCGTTTTTGTCCTTCTCTTTCACTTTTATCAAGAGGCTCTTTAGTTCTTCTTCACTTTCTGCCATAAGGATGGTATCATCTGTGTTTCTGAGGTTACTGAAAATTCTCCTGGCAATCTTGATTCCAGCTTGTGCTTCATCTAGCCTGGCCTTTCACGTGATGTACTCTGCATATAGTTAGCAGGGTGACAAAAAAGCAATCAATCAGCTTTTTAAAAATTAAGTAGAATAGCATTAAAATAAAAAACCCAATTAGGAATACATGTTACCAAGGAGGTAGGAGACACTAAAAATTATAAAATATTGCTGGAAGAAATGAAAGAAGACCCAAGTAAAAGGAAAGACATCCTGTATTCATTGATTGGAAGACAATATTATTCAGATGGCAATACTCTGCAAATTAATCTACAAGTTAAATTCATTTCAAAATCTCAGTCAGCCTTTTTGAAAAAAGTTGACGAGATGATCCTGAATTTACATGGCAAGTCAAAGGACACAGAGTAGGGACTTCCCAGGTGGTCTGGTAGTTTAGACCCCACACTCCCAGCTCCCAGTGCGGGGGACCTGGGTTTGATCCCTGGTCAGGGATTGCATGTGCCACACCAGACCTGATGCAGCCATACATATGTATATTAAATGGAACACAGAATATAAAAAACAGTCTTGAAAAAGAAAAACAAAGGTGAAGAGTCACACTTCCTTATTTCAAAAGTCACTACAAAGCTACTGTAATCAAGGCTTTGTGGTACTGGCATAGGATAGACAATGAATGTAGAATATCAATGAAATGTAATTGAAAGTTGAGAAATGAACTCATGCATTTTTGGTCAATTGATTTTTGACAAGGGTGCCAAGACAAATGGGAAAAAATAGGCTTTTTAGTATGTGGTGCTGGGACAACTGTATATCCACTTGCAAATGAATGAAGTTGAACCCTTGCTTCACATTATATTAAAAAATGAACTCTGGAGAAGGCAATGGCACCCCACTCCGGTACTCTTGCCTGGAAAATCCCATGGACGGAGGAGCCTGGTAGGCTGCAGTCCATGGGGTCGCTGAGAGTCAGACATGACTGGGCAACTTCACTTTCACTTTTCACTTTCATGCATTGGAGAAGGAAATGGCAACCCACTCCAGTGTTCTTGCTTGGAGAATCCCAGGGACAGGGAAGCCTGATGGGCTGCTGTCTATGGGGTTACACAGAGTCGGACACAACTGAAGCCACTTAGCAGCAGCAGCAGCATGTGAGAGTAAAAGCTACTAGTTTTTGCAGTAGTCATGTACGGATGTGAGAGTAGGACCACAAAGAAGGCAGAGCACTGAAGAACTAATGCTTTTGAACTGTGGTGCTAGTGAAGACTCTTGAGAGTCCCTGGGTCTGCAAGAAGATCAAACCAGACAGTCCTAAAGGAAATCAGTCCTGAACATTCATAGGAAGGACTGATGCTGAAACCAAAGCTCCAATCCTTTGGCCACCTGATGTGAAGAGCTGATCCACCGGAAGAGACCCTGATGCTGGGAAAGATTGAAGGCAAATGGAGAAGGGGATGACAGAGGAACAGATAGTTGGATGACATCACCAACTCAATGGACAGCAGTTTGAACAATCTCCAAGAGATGGTGAAGGACAGGGATTCCTGGTGTGCTGCATTCCATGGGGTCACAAAGAGTCAGACACAATTTAGCAACTGAACAGCAACTACAGCAACACGAGAGTAAATGTGTCCTGTCAGATCTGCAGCTGGTGCACACAGATTGGTTTAGAACACTCTCCAACATAGACTGTCTCTAAGTCTGGTTGAGTGTGTCACAAGTACATGAATCAAAAGGCAATGTATTCATTCCAGGATGGAATAGAATGTTACTTTGAACAGTCTGTAAAATTTACACAGAGTCTGTAATCCACTCAAGATTTCAAATAATAAAACATTTACCTGAAAAAAAAAAAAAAAAAGAACTCAAGATGAATCAATGGGCTTCCCAGGTGGCGCTAATGGTAAAGAACCTGCCGGCCAATGCAGGAGATACGGGTTTGACCCCCAGGTCAGGAAGATCCCCTGGAGGAGGACATAGCAACCCACTCCAGTATCCTTGCCTGGAGAATCTTATGGACAGAGGAGCCTGGAGGGCTGCAATCCATAGGGTCGCAAAGAGTTGGACATGACTGAAGCAACTTTGTACACAAAAATATAAAACTCTTAGAAGGAAACAGATGTAAAGCTTTGTAACCTTGCATTTGGCAATGGTTTCTTAGATATGATACCAAAAGCACAAGAAATAAAAAATAGGAAATTTGGCTTCATCAAAGTTAAGAATATTTGTGCTTCAAAGAACACCATTACGAAACTGGAAATGCATGCCGCATAATGTGAGAAACAGTTTTCTGATCACATAAGAGTCTGATATCCAGAATATATAAAGAACTCTTAAATTCATTAAAAGAAATTTAACACACACACACAAATAAATTTAACTCAGTTTTAAAATGAGCAAAGATTTGAATACCACATTTCAACCAAGTGAAAGTGCTAGTCACTCAGTCATGTCCAACTCTCTTTGTGACCCCATGGACTATAGCCCTCCAGGCTCCTCTGGAATTCTCCATGCAAGAACACTGGAGAGGGTAGCCATTCCCTTCTCCAGGGGATTTTCCCTATCCAGGGCTTGAACCCAAGTCTCCTGTGTTGCAGGCAGATTCTTTACCATCTGAGCCACCATGGAAGCCCGTTTTACCAAAGAAGACATACAAATAACCACTAAAACATTAAAGGATGCTTATCTCTCTTTGCTATTACCTGGAATCCTGTATTCAGTTGGAAATGTCTTTCTACTTCTCCTTTGCCTTTTGCTTCTCTTCTCGGCTGTTTGTAAGGTCTCCTCAGAGAACCATGTTTCCTTCTTGCATTTCTTTTTCTTTGGGATGGTTTTGGTTACTGCCTTCTGTATAGTGTTATGGACCTCTGTCCATAGTTCTTCAGGCACTCTGTCTACCACATCTAATCCCTTGAATCTGTTCATCACCTCCACTGTATAATCATAAGGGACTTGATTTAGGTCATACCTGAATGGCCACTACTTTCTTCAATTTAAGTTTGAATTTTGCATTAAGGAGCTGATGATCTGAACCACAGTCAACTCCTGGTCTTGTTTTTGCCGACTGTATAGAGCTGCTCCATCTTCAGCTGCAAAGAATATCATCAGTCTGATTTGGGTATTGACCGTCTGGTGATGTCCATGTGTAGAGACTTACTTCTCTTGTGCCATTGAAAGAGGGTGTTTGCAGTGCGTTCTCTTGGCAAAACTCTGTTACCCTTTGCCCCGCTTCATTTTGTTCTCCCAAGGCCAAACTTGCCTGTTACTCCAGGTATCTCTCAACTTCCTACTTTTGTGTTTCAATACCTTATAATGAAAAGGACATCTTTTTTTGGTGTTAGTTCTCGAAGGTCTTGTAGGTCATCATAGAAGTGTTCAACTTGAGCTTCTTCGGCATCAGTGGTTGGGGGATAGACTTGGATTATAGTGATGTTAAATGGTTTGTCTTGGAAAGACAACAAGGTCGTTCTGTTGTTTTTGAGATTTCACCTAAGTCTGCATGCAGTTGGGTATGTTTCCCTTTCTCCCTTGCCTCCAGAGGATGTTCTTGACCCAGGGATTGAACCTGTGTCCCCTGCATTGGCAGGTAGATTCTTTACTGCTGAGCCACCAGGGAAGCCCTTTGAACTTTATTCTTCCCTTATTTTGCAAAAGGCACACCAAAACTTACCTTAAATCTTACAGGGTGCTGTGAACACCCTCAGGGCACCAAATGAAGGCGTGGCTGAAAAGGCTGATTTACTGCGGAGGTGGAGAATAGGAAGTAAGTTCTTTACAAAATTGGAGGGTTTCCAATACTTGGCTTTCAACACAATCTAGTAGATTTGTCAGCTTATCTTTTTCTCCAAACAGATTTTAGCTCCCCAACCAGGGATCAAACCTGTGCCACCTACATTGGGAGCACCAAGTCTTAACCACTGGACTGCCAGGGAAGTCCCTCAGCTGAATATTTAATTAAAAATGACTTTAATGACAGACCTTGTTTTGGTTTTGTTTATAACAGAAGCAGTGAAGGAATTGAGTGATATTGCTCCAGATAACTTTCTTCCTATTAATTTTTGGAGGTTTGTGGTGCAGAAAGATTTAAAATGCAGTTTGACTTCAGTGTCCACGAATATTTCAATTCATGAACATTTTACAAAATAAATCTATTTGTAATATTAGGCTTCCCAGGTGGTGCTAGTGGTAAACTCCACCTTGCCAATGCAGGATGTGTAGAAGACGCTGGTTTGATCCCTGGGTTGGGAAGATCCCCTGGAGTAGAAAATGGCAACCGATTCCGGTATTCTTGCCTGAGAAATTCCATGGACAGAGGAGCCTGGCAGGATACAGTCCATGGGCTTGCTAAGAGTCAGACATGACTGAGTGAGCACATTTGTAATATTATTCATGCATTGCTTTATTGCAATGCTCACAGTGCAGGTGGGTCTCAGGAGTTAGCACTTTTAAGAATCTTAGCCAGGGACCTACCAGGTTAACAGACAATTTTAGGACTAGGATTGCTATTCAGGTGGATTGGTACAGTTTTGAAACCAGGGGCATCCTGTGGGCTCCTGGGCATGGAGACCTTTTCTGTCTCTCATTTCTTGTAGGCAAGACTCCAGCCTCCATGACCTTCCCTGAGTTCCAAAGAGTGGATTTGAACAGTTGCTAATCAAAGTGAGGAGCAGCCAAGAAACCAGCTGAGGCAAGATTAAAGGGACCAGAGAACTCATCAAGGTCAGGAGACCCACTACCTGTGACCCTGCACATACCCCACCCTTGAAGTGTTTTTATAAAACTCAACAAATCCTTCCAGGTTATGACACAGAGTTTTTCAAGCCAGGGGCCTTCTGTGCCCACCTTTACCTGGCAGAGCAGCAAGACTCTCCTTTTCTATTTCACCCAAACTCTCTTGAGATTGGATTTGGCACAAGTGCAAAGAGGCATTATTTTTGGCATTATAAAGCAGGTGGCATGCTTTCTGACACAAAGTGTGGGAAATTCTGTATTAAGTGACTTCTTGCTCTATGTGAAAGTATTTTGTGTGTAAGTTTGATGCATTTTATAAGATTAAAAGTAATCCTGATCTAGTTAAAAAATTATACAAATTCATCTTTTTATGGTAACAGGAGTTGTATCTTTCGGGGGAATAGTTTTATCGACTGTAATTCATATGGCACACAATTCACCATTTTTGAGTCCAGTCCAGTGGTTTCGGTGTGTTCATGGGGTGGTGCAACTAGGTTCACACCATCAATTTTACTATGTTCTTGTTACCCCGAGACACTGCGCAGGTCATCATCTCCAAAGACCTCTATTCCCATAGCCCTGGGAGACTATTAATCTCTGTTTCTAAGGATTTGCTTGTTCCAGATATTGCACATAAATGGAATCTTAAATGTGCAGTCATGTGACTGGCTTCTTTCACTTAGTAGTGAAAGAAGTGGTTTCAAGTTTGATCCATGTTGCAACCAGTACTTATTTCCTTTTTATGGCAGAGTAATATTTCATTGCAGGGATAGTCTACATTTACTTGATTCGTAATCTAATAATATTTAGATTATTTTTGGTTACAGCCTTGTGGTTAATATACATGGCTTGAGAAAGAATGACTAGAAGACTGTCTAAAAGATTGTAGGGATGGAGGAGGAAAAAATTGTTTATTAGATAATTGGTAAAAAGCAGTTTAGGCAGATAAAAAAAGAGGAACTGTCAGCATAATGTGAACTTCAAAAAACAACTGGAATGTTATTAGTCTTCCCAAACCTCTTGCAGCTGCATCAGTCACCTGACCTTTGGAGCTGGGCCTTTGGCAAATCAGGGCCTCTGAGCATGGGAATCCTTGTCATTTGGGGCATCCACCATCATATGAGGCAACACAAAGCTGTGTCCTAGTTTCTTTACCCCAGGCCGTTAGAGCAGGGTGAGTGATCTAGACTTGACCAGTCAGATGATCCTGCCTGGGCAAGTGACCCAGAGACTGAGGAAGTCAGAGTGCACTTCAGTCGTAGAAGCGGTGGCAGACTGAATGCTCACTGAAGCGAGGCCGAGGGAACCTGACTTGGCCATGGCACCCACGTCCTTGCCGGTCTTCCCCTGGGCAAGACTTTGGCTATGGTTCTGAATGCTCAGCACGGGAGCGAGTAGCCAAGAAAACTCTGGTGAAAAAAAGTAATGAGGGACTAGCTACACCAGTTACTAAATGGCATATTGTACTGGAGTTACTTGACTCAACTTGGCACATTACTTAACTTTACTTAGCACAACTCTGGCGATCTCAGTTCCCCAACCGAGACTGAACCTAGGACCTTGGCAGTGAAAAGTGATGAGTCCTAACCACTGGACTGCCAGGGGATTTCTTGTACTTGAGTTATTTTTAAAAGTTTGTATAGTAGTTAATGGTAAAACATTTGAGAAGGTACATTTAGAGGCCAAAATCTCTTAAAAATTATTTAACATTCCTCTTTAGAGTATCTGGCTTACCTATCACTTTGAAACCGATACTTGAATGCTTTGACTGTTGTGTGTAACCAGCACAACTGATTAAAGTCGAACCCCCTTTCCCCTATCTCGTATCTTTATACCTGAACACAGTGTAGGGGCTCATTTGTTTTAATCCTTACACAAGTAGAAACAGAGACATTAAGGACAAACATCTGTATTTATTTCATTAACAAAAGAATTTAACATCTTGTTTTCACCCTTCCATGTGTTGCCTCTTTCATAAGTTAAATGACCTTTTCTCGAGTATCATTTTAAACCAATGGCTGTGCATACACTCAACATGTCCACATACTGTTTATCACAAACTAGACAGCAGCACACCCTATGTGACTCCTTTGTCCTTTCAGTATCATCCCTGCTACTTTTTTTTTTTTTGGTTCTGTCAACCAGGTATTTCTGACACATTTTCATTCTTCCTATCTGAAGATATTGGATCAGCTGCCTTCCATGGAGTCTAGGTTCCTTTTTGTAGGGATTAGGGTCTAAATAAGGGTTGGAAAATTATATTTCTTAAGTCACAAACGGATTGATTTTTCTAATTTACATCTTAGTACCAGCTTCTATTTTTATTATAGGATGTGATTTTATCAACTAATAACATTTTGCTTTGTATCTTCCAACTTTCTAAAAACTTCATAGGACAGTGTTTGGCATGTACATAATACGCACTTAATTATGTTGAGTGATCTCCCTAGAAAAAATGAATCGACTGTGCAGCAAAGGTACCTGTGTGAACTGATGTACCTGGAACAACGTGTGATGGCAGCTGCTGCCTACAGTCAAGGAGAGGGAGGGCAGTGCTGGCCAGCGGCCTGGGGACCCTGCAGGTACCAGCGGCAGTGAAGAGGGCCTCTCTGAAAGCGCCTCTGCCTTTCCATCTGACACTGTTTCTCCTCACCCTCTACTCATTCCCATTCTGAGGCCAGAGTTTATTATCTTCTCTAAGGGTCTTGTACTGCTGAGGTTTTGAGTTTAAACTCCAAGGGAGGACTTGTACAGGGCTTCCAGGTACCTTTGTAAGGTGCCCGTTGCTGGGCAGGCAGAACTTCTAAGCCCCTTTGAAAGTGGCTCACAAGTTTAAGGCTGACTGGCTAGCTGCCTGTGGGCCTGGTGGCCATTCCCTGTGTGCTCAGCTGTGACAGAAATGTGGTCCTGTTTGTAGGGTCATATGCATATGCCCAATATGTGAACCTAGACCTCCCAGTTCCAGAACTGCATATCCAGACTGGAAATGACTGGCCAGGGAGGGAAACCATGTGGTCCCTTTTAACACTTTACTAGTCTGAGTAGACTGCCTTCCATCCTGCCAAACTGTGAAGCTGAAATCTGGGTATTATAGAAACTGTCAATTATTAGAGGAATGAGTAATGATACTTCAAAGCACAGAGAACACTATCCCTCAATGGGAGCTACCCAGAAATTTTATGATACCAACTTATATAGATCAGAATAATTTGAGAAGTCTCAATTCAAATCAGTACAGATATACAATATGGGGACGACATACTAACTTATTAGACTTGTTAGCTCTTTGAAAAAGAAAAGACTAAGTTTTGGTATCATACTTGGCTGAGAGTAAAAGGAATTCTGAAGGCCTAGTTTGATTATGAACAAGAAGGCCCCAAACAGGTAAAACCTAAAAGACCACTGGAGGCAATACATAGATGTCTCACACATCTTTTGGGCTGAGTCCATGATAGAAAGTCACCCTGCAGCACCTCCAATGCTCTCAAAGCTGTCTCCATTCCTGGGTGATGACGCTTCATTCCTCTTTGACCCAACAGATTTTGCCATTTTCTCCAAGCCGTACAGCTCCACTGGCCACCAGCTGGAGGGCTGAGGGAAATATTTTATGTTCCGCTAATTTTACTCTCTCAGATAGACTTTCAACAGTGTCACCCCTCTTCACTGGAACGGCTTCCTGTAAGATAATTTGACCGGCATCTACATCTTCCTGGAAAAGAAAGCAGAAGTTTTGAACGTTACCTCTGGCAAGTGCAACTGACATTTAAATACTAATCATGAGCCATACTCACAGCTACAAAGTGCACAGTGCACCCGGTGATTGTGACCCCAGCGTCCAGAACTTGTTCATGGGCATTTGAACCCTTAAATGAAGGGAGCAAGGATGGGTGGATATTGAGCATTTTCCCTGGAAATTAATTAAAATGTGGTCAGAATCTGGAATGTACACTTTCCTGTCTAGAATCAGGAGTCACACAGAAGCAAGCTTTCTTTAGGTTGGCTGTTTTCATTGTCAAGGAAAGAAATGAGGAAAAGTGAAATACACGTTCTCATCCAAGGAGGCCCTGGGAGCAGCAGGTTTCTGCCTTGCACAGATGAAGACACAAAGACGGACTCTGAACAGGTGCCGGCAGTGATTCAAAGCTGGATGGGAAGGGGTGTACTCTGTCTGGCTCATAGGGCTCTTGACATTAACAGCAGATCCTCTGTAATCTGACATAGTGCCTTCTTTGCCATTTTCTGGCAATGGTTCACACTTCTAAACAAGGAAAAAAAGTCTCCTCCCAGTATTTATCCAGAAGATGAAATAGTACATTTGTATTAATGTGAAAGTAACCTAATCTATCTTAGAAAACATAATTATAGCACACCAAAGAAAACTGATGAAGGATAATAAGTCTATCACTGGGTCATTTTCTGGGCTAAAGGCAAAGGAGATTCAATTATTAAGTATGTAAAAATAAAATGTCATAATAGATCTCTCATGACTGGGATGGTTTGGTAAGTTAACCACCCTAGAGTCATTTTCAGTTGATTTCTCAATGTGGTAACAAACAGTTTTTTGCTTACCATTCCATTTTCTGACGAAGGAGCCAGACAAAATTCTCATGAATCCTGCAAGACAGACTATGTCTGTGGAGAACTCTTCAAGGACTTCGTCAACTGCAGTGTCAAATGCTTCACGATTTTTATATAATTTATGATTAATTACCTAGAAAAGAAACAGGTAAGTACCATCTGTCTCCAACAAATTAACCAAAAATAATTTAAAATCCAACCTAGAAATAGGCCACATTGATCATCTGAAGACACATGTGATGTCAAGAATGAAGGAATGAACCGGAATGGAAAGGCAAGCCTAGTAGCCACCCCAAATCCAGATGTCCTAAGAACACTTAGGG